TTCATAGTATGTTCCTTGGTGAATAAAACCACCTAGAACTGTTTCTAAAAACCTGTCTCCCTCATGGTTTGATTTTAATATTTTTCAATCAATATGCTTGAAGTTAATATTACCCATAATAATGATCTCTTTAACAGCTGAAATTTTAATCTCACTGTTTCATCTGGTGGTCTGTAATAAAATCCAAAGCCTCCTTAGTTATCCACTAACAAACCCAAAGATTCAATTAATTTCTTGCTGTTATCTTTGATATCCTCAACTTGACCTGAATGTATTTTACATATAAAGCCACTACCCCACCTCTATAGCATATAAAGTTTTATTTATTTCCATATCAAAACTTTCCATTATGACCAGTGTTCTAAAGTAGTATATTTTCTAGTAATTCTAGCATTGCACTAGTAACAATTTAGCCTATTTTTAGGACTGCTTCTTTACTATGTTGTTACACTACACTTTATACTGTATTTTTTCTGCATTTTGTCTATTCCTAGTCTAAAGCTCCCCTTACAAACAAGTTAGTCCCTACTCTACTTAAATGTAAACCATCCATTCCAAAAATATTTTTTCTCATTGAAATGATTCTATAAGTCTGACCAGTCAAATAAGTTCATTCCTACATAATAACCTAACTCTTAACATTCTAGAGTGGCCATGTTTTAAAAAACTAAACAAGTTGCCATTACACTGCAAAATAAACTGAGACAATTTTGTTATCTTGATCAAGATACAGTTTTAAGACAAAAATTTTATTTTATGATATTGCATCGCATACTCTTAGAAGAGGCAAATTTAAATCTTTGATCTTAATACTGAGGAAAATAATTAGAAATATGCAAGAGCATTTGTAATAATAATCATAATATCTTTGATGGTTACTTTTCTTTAAGCCTGCTGTTGAGTTAACATGAGTTAGTCATTGATTTCAGAAAAGCAAAAATTTGAAAATGTGTTAAAATTGGGAGAAAGTTGGAGTTGCTAGTATAAATGAAAATATTACTGCTCAAATGTGAGAATTTTATTAAGCTTTATCACATTATCTTAGGATATTGTAATTATTTTGTAGTGTGTTCGAACCAAAAGCCAAATCCTACATAGTTAAATTATTCTTAATAGATAAAAATACTGAGCTTACAAAAATTAAACTTACTAGTAGACAGAGAATGCACATGTTAATCTAAAGGATGTCAATGGTGTATTTAACGACTGTGAAAGTCATCGCTACAAACATTACTTGATCAAAGGGCTTTAAGCTTAGGTAAATTATAAAATAAAAGACAACGATTGGATTAGTCCAATTTTCAATGAAGGAAAACAGCATGGCTAAAGTTTTCTTAAAGATTTTCTTATTTTGATATTAAAGTGAAAATTTTCTTTCTTGGTGTTTTTTTTTTAAACCAAAGAACTGAAATTTAATTTTTATGGAATAATATGATGTTTGTTAAAGCTTGAAAGAAAAGATGATAGGATTTATTCTAAAACCTTTATTTTAACTTAGCCAAAAAAACCTTTAATGTTTTCTTACTCTTGCATTTCAAAAGTTATTCACCACTGAGAAAAAATATGATTTTTGAGAAGTCAGTTATTGTGACCCTTATATTTAAAAGGATGCCAACAAAAGATTGATAAATTTTAGGCCTGTTAATTTGTCTTGTCATTATTTTGGAACATGTCAAAAATCTTAGGATGTTTTCTTATTTAATCAAATTATTGGAATTTAATTCTAAGAATCCATCAATGAAAGAAAAGGAGAATGTTATAACCTGTCATCAATTTTCTCGAATTACAATGGTAAGGCATTTGCATATTCCTTTCTTTTTTTGAAGATAACTTTCTAGTTCTTATTTTCTAACTTTACTTTAACAAGGTGCTGCACGAGAGGTTAAATTAGTAAATTGGATTTCAATAGAATTAGTTAGAGTTAAGAAGTGCATAAAAATTTGTATTTAAATACATATTTTTTTACTTGGAAGTACGAGACAAATGGAGTTTGTTTTGTTTTCTGATGATACTAAGTCTGACAGTAATTCTCATGAGAATGCTTATCTTACTTTGAATCACTTGGACAGTGTTAGTAAATGATCCAGAACAATAAAAATGCTTTTGATGTACTTTGCTGTTATTTTATAATTTTGTTGTTAGTACAACAGTTTCTGTTGTGTTTTCAAACTCAAAAATATCTTTGATAAAATAGTCATTCAAAGAAATGTGTGAGCTGGGAAATTTTCTTTAATTTACCTATACCAATAACATTGGACAACAAAACATTTGCTACTAGAAAACTCAAATGATTCAGGGTAATTTGATGGTGCTGATTTCAAAAATGTAATCAGAATTTGTTCATCACCTCTAGATTTTGAGTTATTGTTATATCTCAATATTTTATCAGTATTATGTGAAATACCATGCAATCAACTTGGTACAATAGATTTATGCTGTAAAATTAAGTTTACTTGGGCACTTTAATGGGCAAAAGACATACATTTTCGATAATTTCAAACATTGATTGTATTGTATTGGTGTAAAATTCCAAATATATTGTTCATATATGCTATTTGTTCTCAGTATATTTTGTCTCATTCCCACACTCACTTGCTCTGCCTAGAAATCATGAAATCCTTATGCGCTCAGTTTACTTGGATATTTGAGAAGACCCTCGACTGAGCATAATAAGGGCAGAGTCAGATGCCTCTCTCTCTCGGTTGTCTCTCACTCACTCACTTGATAATTTCATCTCTCTCTGTGCACACACACACTCAAAACAATGTCCAGTCTTCTTCCTCACATCATACCTGTGATATAATCAAATTCTGCAAAGCTCTGTTTTTAAAAGCTTTTAAACTCTAGTTCTGTAAACATAAGTTCTCTTATACGTTTTAGAAAATCATTTGAAATGCTGGTTGCCTCCAGTTCAAGTAAAGTCCAAAAGTGCAAAAATCACCCAAACAGTTTCTGCTACATTTGTGGAAAAAATATTACAGTTTCATGAAGGAAAAATATCACACACAAGATAAAGGTAAATTACTACCACTATTTTGGATTTAAAATTAGTGACCAAGAAAATCATTGGGCTCCATGTGTGTGTTGTACAGTTTGCATACCTGGCTTGCTACAGTGGCTGAATAAAAAGAGAGCAATTATTTGAAGTTCCCATGATATGGCTGACTGATATTATTACATGACTAATGTTTCTGGGTATTCAAGCAAAATTAAACAATACATTAAATATCCAGATATTGCATCTGCAATGAAACCAATGCCTCATGAGAATGGTTTTCCTGTGCCACATCCATCAGCGAATTGGTAAACAGAAGAGTTATCCTTAATCATCTTCATTGTTTTCATCTAGTAATTCTGTTTCTGTGGCACCTCAACATAAACTACTTCATCTGATCACACAAGAAGACCTGAATGATCTTATTCATGACTTGTCTCCATCAAAGCAGCATGGGAAACTTTTTGGCTCTCATTTACAGGAATGGAATGTATTAGCTCCAGGAACAAGTTTTAATTTACTGAAGTCACCATCAAAATCTTGCTTCTCACTACAGCATGTAAGATACTTTGTGTTTCTGTACAAATGTTGATGCATCTAATGGAAGAATTAGGATGGAGACTCTCTATCAACTCATCTAAAGTTATTCTGAAAGCTGTACTTTTGCACAATGGAAACATTAAGCCATCAATTCCTGTTGTTCATGCTTTGAACATAAAAGAAACTTATCAAAGCATACAGATTATACTTGAGGCCATCAATTATTATCACCATTGATGGAACATATATGGTGATCTAAAAGTTATTGACTTTTGTTAGGCCTGCAGAATGGGTATACCAAACACACTTGCTATTTGTGTCTCTGGGATAAAAAAATGTTTTAAAGAAAGGAATGAGAGAGATAATTACATACCAGCTGTTACTACAGAAAAATGTGGGTCTAAAATGTCACTAAAGATGCACTTCTTACACTCCCATTTAAACTAGACATCTTTCCAAATCAGCATGGTGAGTGCTTCCACTGAGATATTTCTGCATTGGAAGAGCAATATCAAAGATGATGGAAGATTACTGTTGGTTTTAACAACGTGAAACTGAGAACATACATAAAGGCACAACAAGTCAAGCACATATTTTGCAACAAAAAATACCATGATGAAAGTTTTGAACATAGCCTGAATGTATTTTCAGTAAATAGTCTTATTATACTCATTGCTTTTTTTTAAAACTGGTATTGCTGTTATTTAGAGTTTTTGAACATTCTGAGACATTTTCAATGAATAAAGTTAAAGAAAAAGTTATTTTCACGATATATATATAAGAATATTTTGAATAAATATATCATAAGTTGAAAACTTGAGGTGATCAGTAATTTTTAACTTGATTTTTTTAGAAGCAGCATCATCATCATATTACTTAGAAACAGTTGCATTTTTTTTTTGTTGCCTGGTGTAATCATAAACCACAAATGTATAGTTATGCTACAAAGTTTTGTACAGTTTAGGCACTCATAATAATAATAATAAAATATAAATTAGAATAGCACATATAGTTTAAACATTTGTTCTTTTATGGAACTTGTAACTTGATTCTCATCACAGGGATGTTATGAGCAGAGACTTCCCAAGAAACAACAGTTTAATTGAAATAAAATCAGCAGCAACCAAAATGACAATTCCAATTTAACTTATGTACTGTTATATATTTACAGGGCAAAGTTTTTTGCTTTCATCAGTTGGTAGGGTGATATTTTCACTAGATTCTTCCCCATTTGTTTCCTGTGTTACACTTATTTGGAGAAGGGCTATATGAAATATGATACTTGATTTAAGGAATTTGAGCAGTGAAGAGGAGCTTAACAGATTTGAACTAGTTTTCTCTGAAGTATAAAAGAACTAAAGTAGACTTGATTCTAAAGTTTGAAAGTATTTGTCTTGTATATTCTATGTATGGATAATCTGTTTTAGTGGTATAATGAAATGTTTAGAAATATATAAACTAAACATGGGTGAGAGGGTGCCATTTTGGGTACATAAATCCATACTGGTAGTCTTGGCCAGGATTTAAAAGTTGAAATAATTTTTTTGTAATTTGCTCATCTGGTGTTTTATCATTTCACACTCAAGTTATTTTTAATATGCTTGCATACCTGCATAATGAGTTACTACACAAGCCTGGTACTGGTGATGATTGTGCTTTTGTTGGCAAAGAAAGATTTTTCATGATGCTCAGAAATTTTCAGTACTGGCAAAAGTTTTTGCTACTACCCAAGTTTAAATACAAGGAATAATATATGTAAGTGTAATTCATCTAGATTCACTTAGTTCTTTAGTAAAATTACTTGTTAAAATTGTGTGATTATATGTGTACTGTGTTATTTATATTAACATTTCTTGGGTGTGAAAATTGATGTGTGCTTTGCTTTTGATTCTTTTGCTGGTTGTTCTGAGATTCATGATACATTGTTGCTACCAATGCTATCTATGGCATGAATGCTGAGTTTGAAATATTTGTAAACTGGTAAATTAACCAATGTAGATTATGATTGTTATATTCAAGCAGAATTGCTTCAAATGAATTAGCAACAAAAGTATTGTCATACAGAAAATTATCAAAAATTTAATTATGTGATACAACGATTTTCTCTTGAAAATTTAAAGTGAGAAAAAGAGCAAGCTAAATACAATTTTATTAATAAGCAGCAAGTAATATGTAATTTTTCTATCAGTTATTAGTTTTCATGACAACTATATGACCTAAGTGATAATGCAGTAATAATGTTGAACAAATTCTTGAAGCAGTGGAATAAGTACATTTGCAGACTAAGTAAAATTAAAGTGTATGAATTTAGTTATCAAAGATGTTTAAGTGCTTATTTGCTTAGAGATTTTAAAAAAAGTACCATGCAAAACATTGACAACAATGAGCAAACTTTTAATAAGTTGAATAGATTAATGAAAAACTTTAAAAAATGTTCAGCTCTTATCAGTTTTGTTTTCCTAATTTTGGTTATTTATTGTGAAATGATTTAATTTAGAATGCTAAACATTAGGAATTTTCATACTTTTTTTGTCCTTTTGTTAAAGAATATGATGTATATCAGTGGTTCCCTAGACTTTTAGCTAATCTATGTAACTGGTTAAAATTACCAAAAAAAAAAACT